GCAGGCGCTGCATATCCCCAGCCTCATGAATGATGCTGGATGAATCAGAGTCAAAGCCACCTTCTCAGTGAACTGTCCCCAGCCTTTCTCACACTGAGGAGGTACCCCTGCTCCAAGAACCTCACACTCCTTCCTGTCCTTATTTTTCTCTACAGCATCTATCAATAGCTGACATACCAAGTATTTCACTTTTTCTTTTTTTTTTTTCTTTTTTGTATGTTAGGGAAGGGTCTACAAAGTGTTCAGGGTCTCACTACTAGATCAAACTCATAGTGATCTGCCTGTTTACAGCCTCCCAAGAGCTGGGATTACAGGCGCGCATCATGCCTCAATCTCCGTCTCAGCATACCCTGGGGGTGGGAGCTGGCACAGCAGGCCTGGGGATTGAGCCCCCAGCCCCTGTGCCTGCCTGCAGGCGCTTTAATCCGTTGTTATTTATTTATTTATTTATTTTTACATTTTATTTAGAGTGTGTGTGTGTGTGTGTGTGTGTGGCCAGCTCAGCCCACCAGGGGGTGGGGCTGACTGGCATGTGGTGCTGGGGGATTGAACCGCGGTCCCTGTGCTTTGCTAAGTTTGTTCTAAGTAGGTGCTTTAGACCACTGAGCTATCTCTCCAGCCCCCCCCCCCGTTGGTTATTTTTTAAGACGCTTTTATTTTTATTTATTTATTTTGGCGGAACTGGGGATTGAACTCAGGCCCTTGCACTTGCCAGGGAAATGCTTACTCCATTGAGCCATCTCCCCAGCCCCTGGTTTTTTTGTTTTGTTTTGGTATCAGAAATTGAGGGGCTGGGGAGATGGCTCAGTCTAATAAGCACTTCCCTGGCAAGTGCAAGGGCCTGAGTTTGATCCCTGGTTCCGCCAAAAAGAAAAAAGAAAAGAAAAGAAATTGAACTCAGGGCCACCCGTGTGCTAGGCAGGCACTGGTTGCTGAGCTACACCCCTAGGCAACTGCTTGGTTTCCGACTGCATTCCCCACACTAGACTATAAACTCTGCTGACATGGGGATCTGTTTCCATGGCCGTATTCCCAGTGTCTGCAGCGGGGCTGGCTGCACCCATGTGCTCAGGGAATATTTGCTGGCTGATAAGAGTGTGGGACGGGCTGAGAGTTCACATCCTACTGAGTGGATTCAGCCTATCATAGGGCCTGGCTGTGGACTCGCTGACTGTTGTCATCAGGTTCCTTTTGCTTTCCTCTGCCACACTCACCCTGAGGGCCTCCCAGTGACGCCACTGGGAAGCCCTGCAGGATCCAGAAAGGGACAGGTGGCATCCTCACCCGGAGTGGCTACTCCAGCCTCTGACCCACCCCACAGGGGACAACCTTGGCTTCCAGGCACTCCCTCCCCCGTTCTTACTCACACAGGGAGGTTGAGTCAGGACAGAAGTCTGGGAACAGTGGCCTCAGGGCACCCTTTCACTGCCCAGTCAGCCTGCTCCACCAGGGCTGTGGCAGGCAGGAGCCCGGACACAGGGTAGGCTGAGGCCGGGCTGCAGCTCACAGCTTCATGTGATCGAAGTCCAGGAGCTTCCTCCTGGGTCCCCCGCAGACAGCACCAGGCTGTGAGCCCCAGGGCTGCCTCCTCCTCCACGGGGCCTCTTTTCCGTTTTCTCCATTGGAATAGGACCAATCAGGCCAGGGGCTGCAGGCTCAGCTCACAGTCAGGAGGTGGGGTTGAGGGGGGCTCCTGGAAGTGGGGAAGAGGGCGCCGCAGCCTGTGTGCCCATCTCTCTGTCCACAGGAGTAAACCTCAGTAGAGATGCTAGTGAAGATATAACCCTTCTATTCCTCCAGCCAAGGACATTCCACAGCACCCTCATGATTATTATCTTACCTACTGGGTGGGAGAGAGAGGACTGGAATTAAGAAACAAAAGCAAAAAGAATTCCTTCAGGCTCTGAGTCTCCCAAAGCCAGAAAACCGACATAAATACTTTGTAGCTTTGCCAGATTCCTTCAGTGTTCCCAGAGCTCAACCTTGGAGCAGCAGAGCCCAAGGAGGAGAACAAGGCACACCTGGCAGGACCTGGTGAGGAACCAGAGTGGGCATCTCCATCTTGGCACCCGCAGTGGCCCAAGACGCTTGCTGCTAAGGAAAGGAATCCCTTCCTCCTGGACTGCCCGGCAGGGCTGAGTGTGCCCCAGGAATAGGCCTGGGGAGGAAGTGGCCTCTGCGTCTGCAAGAAGTTCTGTCCATCCTTTCTTCAGACAGCGAACAGCTTGCAGTGTGTGAGGTCACCCAGATCGGTTTTTAGCTGCAGCCACCGGGGTCTGCACACCAACACCGGCTCCACACACAGCCCTGGCCCCCTCCTGACACGTGTGTCCCCAGGGCTGTATTCTCTCACAGGCTGTCCCCATCCGTGCACATGTATTTAATGTGGCTTGGCACCCACTGCGTCCCAGATGCAGTTCTAGGCTCTGGCTACACTGCAGGGCCAAACAAAACAACAAAAGGCTTTGCTGTCAAAAGCTTTTATTGAAGGAAAGTAAAGACAAGAAAGAGGCAAACAACATAAAAATTCAGATGGGCCACCACAGTAAACAGAACAATGGCTTGGAGGTGGCACCTCCTGAGGGAGATGGGCTGGAGGTCTCTCCAGGAGGTGACGTCAAAGCTAGGGCTTAGCCAGCCATGCAAACATGGTGGACGCTGGTGACAGCAGGAGTGCTTTGGTGGGAACAAGCTAGAGGCAGAGCTTGGTGCTGGGACAGTCCCTGATTGCAAATGTTGTCCCAGTGTCACCATCACAGCCCTTGTCAGTAATGGCCAAGAATAAGTTACCACTTCAAGGGGCTGAATCTGCCCTACCTACCGGGAACTCATAGCCATTGGAGGTAATGACCCGACTGCGACTGACGTCTTGTGAGGATCTGCTTGCTGCTCCATGAGGAATAAACTAGTGGACAGAAGGAAGATGGCTGTGCAGGCCAGGCACGCTTGGACGCGCCCTTCCACCAGTCGCAAGGGTGGCAGCCTTCAGCAAGGGCAGCCACGCTCAACGTGCGCAAAGAACAGGCTTTTCTGCACTCGAGCACCCTCCCAGGCCGCTCACCTCCTCCACCGGCCCAGGCCCCTCCCAGGCCAGCCCGGAGCCCACCCCGCCCCCCTGCGGGAAGCCGCCGGCGGTGCCTGCCGCGTGACCTTGGGCTACAAAGTCCGGCGTTTGCAAAGTCAAAGCAAGTCACTTCCTCCCGCGGGCCTCCCCAGGGCGGGGGACGGGGAGTCGCTGGCCTGGACCGGCGCTGTCGCGCACGCGCTCCGCATGCAAAGGGCTCGCGCCGGGCCCGGCGCCGCCCGAGGCTCATTTGTCACCCGCTGCTGACTCAGCACTTCTGGGGAAGGCTTTTCCCTCTGCTTTAGAGGCGGAGGCCCGGAAATGAGGCAGCCACTCTTCCTTCCCTTCCCTCCAAAGGGTGTGTGTGTGTGTGTGTGTGTGAGTGAGTGTGTGTCGGGGAGGTCTGCGTGTCTTTGTGGCTGCCTGTATATATGATAGGTGTCAATCACAGGTGTTTTCCTGTCTGTGCGTCTTTTGTGTACAGCTGAGACGATACGTTTTTCACTGTGTACGTTTTCACATGTATGTGCCTGTCCCTTGGGTCTTTTATGTGTCCGTGGGTCCCCGTCGGTCTGACGCAAGTGTGGTCTGTGTGTGGCGCCCTGTGTTTGTGTTCCTCCCCTACACGCCAGGCCCCTCCTCTCGCTCACTCCCAGCATCCTCTGCACTGTGACTCCGGCGTGACCCGAGATTCCCTGAGGCCACTAGGCACGGCCTCCCCGCACCGAGGCCACGCCCCCTCTGCACCCAGACCTCTCAACTCCTGCAGGGCTAACAGCACTGGTTCTGGGGGCTGCCAGACCTCCACTTCAGCACCGGCTCTGCACTTGCTGGCAGTGCCCTTGAGTCACATGCGTACCTGTGCTGAGCCTCAGTTTCCTGTCTTAAAGAAGTGGGGCCGGGGAGATGGCTCAGTGGAATAAGCACTTGCCTGGCAAGCCGTTCAATCCCTGGTTGGGGGGGGGAAGGAGGGGGAGGCGGAGGGGAGAGGAGGGAGAGGGGAGAGGAGGGGGGAGGAAGAGGAGGAGGGATCGCGTCTCTAGAAGAGGCTGTCCTAATGAGGCTGGCCTGGCAGAGCCTGCCTAGTACTTCTCAAGGGGCTGAGCAGCCTGGATGCCTCAGCTGCCTGTTCGCAGGGGGTGGGAAATGGTGGCCTGGACTGGGAGCTGAGCAGAGCCCTTTGAGTGACAGAGTGGTGACCTGATTTAGTGCTGCCTTTGGTGGCCAGGGAACTGAGGAAGTCCCAGGCTAGGAGCTGGGAACCAGCCCTCTCCACCCAGCCCATTACTGCCTGGACCCTCAGCGCCATCTAGGCCCAGGGGAGCCATACAGCCCATCCCCCTGCCATCCACCTCCAGCTCAGCGCTGTGTTCCCTATCACTTTTCCACCTTTCTCTCGAAACCGGGGATTGAACTCAGGCCCCTGCGCTTGCCAGGCAAGTGCTTATTCTACTGAACCATCTCCCCGGTACCACTTTTCCACCTTTTGGCTAAGATTAAGTGTAGTATCAGTGCTATGTTCCCAGAGAAGATTCGCATTCATTGGTTGGTTCTTCTTTTATTGTCCCCCCATCCAGTACTGGGGCCTTGAGCCAGTGGTCTGGTTTTTACATGAAGCTATATCCCTAGCCCTTTTTATTGCTTATTATGAGACAGGATCTTGCTGTGATCCTCCTGCCTCAGCCTCCAGAGTGGTTGGCTCTTTTTTTTTTTTTTTGCAGACCTGGGGATTGAACTCAAACCCTTGCGCTTGCTAGGGAAGCGCTTATTCCACTGAGCCATCTCCCCAGCCCGGTTGGCTCTCTGCCACCCCCCCCCCAAACTGGGAATTGAACTCAGGTCCTTGTGCTTGTCAGGGAAGCGCTTATTCCACTGAGCCATCTCCCTGGCCCCAACAACTGAGCTAAGGGGCAGGCCCCCTGGTTGGCTCTTTTTAACAGCCCTATGAAGGAAATTCTTAGCATCTCTACTTGTACCTTGGGACACTGAGGCTGTAGCAGTTACATCCCAAGTTCAGAAGGGCTGCCAGTGTGGCAGCGGGAACCCTAGCATTGCAGCCCTCAGTCGGAGGCATATCTGCACCACTCACTCCCTTCCTGGGTGCACGCAGGCACACCTCAACCTGATGCTCACTGGCTGGTTGCACACCTGACTGCAGCAAGCTCTTCCCCAAACCAAGCAGGCCTGCTCCCCTGGTACAGGTAACTTCACAAGGATCAGCAAGTCCAACACAGGGTCTGCAGTGTGGATTCTCACTCCCCTCCTTTTCCTGTTCTGCAGGAGGGATACAAACCAGCTTGAGCTAAGGACACAGCTTTCCCTTGCTGGCTGGGATCCCTGGGGCTCTGGTCCCACACTTCTGAGTTGCTGTCTGAGCTCACAACAGGGCACCACTCTCATCAGGTGACTGATGGGGACTTTTAGAACCCATGAGGGTACAAACCTGGGATCTAGCAGGTGGGAACATTGAGTGGAGGTTTGAAGTATGGGAGACTCCAGTTCACACCTCTGCTGCTAGAAGCTTTGTGGCTTTGAGCAAGCCACTAGCCCTCTCTGGGGCTGGGTCACCACATCTGCGAAATGAGAGTGGCTGTACTGGAGTTCTTTTCGGCTCACTGTCCCTGATGCCACTAGGCCTGGACCATGGCCAGCCGTGGTCTATGCCCTCAGCTGCTACCATAGACCTAGGCCCCAGGGCTGACTTCCCACTCACCCTCTCCCCCACCCGGCTCTGCCTGGGCAAATGGGCAGACAGAGGTACACATGAGCGGACGGATGAGAAGTCCTGGTCCTTAGAGATGGGATTTAGAAGGATGCCGAAGTAGAAAGCAGCAACAGAGAGCTTCTTCATTCCTGCTCTGTCCCTTCCTTTTTCTTTTTCTTTTTTTTTAGCAGTACTGGGGATTGAACTCAGGCCCTTGAGTTTGCCAGGGAAGCACTTATTCTACTGAGCCACCCTTCCCAGCCCCTCTCTTCCTTCCTGTTCCCAGGAATCCCACATGGAACCAGATAAGACACTAGTTCCTTTGCACGGTGCTGGCTTAGGGTCACTTCTTATTTCAAGGAGGCCTGTGACTGGTAGAAAGAAATCAATCTGGTGCCTCTGGGGGACTCACTGGGTTGTCCTAGTGTTGTAGGCACCTGAATTAGATAGAAATATTATAGGCCCTCAAGGAGACAAGATGGAAGACAAGGTTGTAGCTTTGCAACTTGGAAGAGACAGACCCTCCCATATGGGCCAGACCTCAAGACAAAAGAGGAAACAAATACAGCTACATACTTCCCTAGGGATGGGTATCAGGGATTGATATTCTAAATAGGTATCAATCACCTTCACAGGGCTGGTGAGATGGCTCAGTGGTCTAAAGCACCTACTTGGAACAAGCTTGGCAAAGCACAGGGACCGGGGTTCAATCCCCCAGCACCACATGCCAGCCAGCCCCGCCCCCTGGTGGGCTGAGCTGGCCACACACACACACACACACACACACACAAATGTTAAAAAAATAAATAAATTAAAAAAAAAAATCACCTTCAAAGATCCCAAATGAGTCACTAGCCCAATCCCCAACAAGAAAAGACCCTGTCTCATATTCATGCCCGCTTGCTACGAGATTTGCCTCCCCATTTGGTACTGGATTTAATCAATTTTACCTGAGCAATGGTGCTTGTAATCTCATTGGCTGACCATAGTTTTGTCCCACCTCATGCCCACCTAAGTGAGTTCCCATGTTCTCTACCACCTTAGACCCACCTCACCACATGCTTTTACACTATACAAGTCCCTGGAAAAGATAGCTTCCTGGGGACAACCCGCTGGGCTCCCCTCCTGTCCCTCTCTCCTATAGGAGCTTTCTTTGCCCCAATAAATAGAGTCTGCTCATAACCTCTGTTTGTCCCTAAAATTCATTCTTTGGTTTTAGAGAACACGAACTCGTCCCAGGTACCTTTTAGGTTGGGTGATCAGTTTTTCTCCCTGTGTCATTTGGAGGTTTCCCTGCATTGCTAGCATGGGTGGGGCTGCTATAGGGCAGACATGCTCATTTCAGTCCAGGATCAGATGGGGCAGTGAGGGGTAGCTGCAGCCTTTCCTTATATGGGACTAAGGGGCCAGCCATGCAATGATTCACCCACATGTGCAGCTGGCTGGATCCCTGTCGTCCCCCCCCCCCGCCCGCCCTACCTACAAGGCCCCTTGGTCACGCTGGGACTAAGGTTGACATGGGGACAAGTGATCCTTCACTCGTCCACTCTGAGCCACGTACCACTAGGCTTCTAGCATTGGATTCCATCTACCCCTTATTGTTTGGGTTTGGTTTTGCCCTTTGGGATTGGAACCAGGGCCTTGTAATGGTAGGCAAGCCTTCTACCTCTGAGCTGCACCCCTTACCCCTATCTTATTGTTTAAGTTTCGTGAAGGTTCTTCTTGCAGCCCAAACATCTATGAGATATGCATGGATTTGAGCACAGTGGTTTCTTGGGGCTATCACCTAAGGTTAGCCTGCCAGAAGCAATCACCAGAAACTCCCAGGAGGTCCTAAAGGGCCCAAGAGAAGCTGATGAACAAAAAAAAAAAAAAAAAAAAAAAAAAAAAAAAAAAAAAAGAAAAAAAGAAAGAAAGAAAGAAAAAGAAAAAGAAAAAGAAAAAGAAAAAGAAAAAGAAAAAGAAAAAGAGAAAAAGAAAAAAGAAAGAAAACTTAAAATTGGAGCTGGGGAGATAGTTTAGTGGAGTAAGTGCCTGCTGGCAAGCACAGGGTTCCAAGTTCAATCCCCAGTCCCACAAAAAAAAAAAAAAAGAGAGAGAGAAACAGATGAAATCTGCTGGGAACTAGTGAAGTGGGCTGAAGCAAGTGGCAACTCTGAGGATGGAGCTCTGATGTGGGGTGTACCAGTGAGGAAGGAGAGCACAGAGGGGTCCACCAGGAATACTGCAGCCCCAAGATCAAGCTGTGCGCAGTCAGCGTCACCAGAGCAGCGTTTTATCCAACTGTGGGTCAAGACCCATGAGTGGGTCATAAAAGCAACCTAAGGGACTGCACCCCGAATTTAGATGGGGGTAGGCAGATTGATGGTGTGTAGCTCAGTTGTAGGTGTGTACTTAGCAGGTGCACGCCCTTGGTTCACTCCCCATCGTCCAGAAAATAAACTAGAATCGAGGGGTAAAGTGTAAGTGTAGGGGCCGGGAAGATGACTCAGTAGAAATAAGTGCTTCCCTGGCAAGCGCAAGAGTCTGAGTTCAACCCCCAGTTCCGCCAAAAAGTGTAAGTGTAGCTATGCCGGAGGGGGGTGGGGAACCCATGCCTTTTACAAAGTTCACTTTTTTACTCGAAAACACAGGTGCTGGTCTGAGTAATGGGCTGGGACGTGAGATGCTTTTCTTAGTGTGAGCCACGCCTTCAAAAGCTCAAAAGAGCTCTGCAGAACAGAAGACTGTGCCCTTGGTATGTGATGGGGAGCGCTGTCCTAACACTGGATCCTGGAACCCTCAGGCATGTCCTGTTTGTGGGGAGCATTTGCCCTGTGACTTCCACTTTTCTGTCCCTTCACACTTTAAGGTGCTCTGATCCCCTCTGCCTCTTTCATTAGTGGTGAGGGATGTTCGCTTTTCCCAGGTTCCCCAACTCTAGAATATCTCAAGAACCTCCATGGAGCGTGATGGTCAAAACGGCCCAAACTGCCCAACTGAAACTTCCAAGTAGCAAGTGCCACCCTGTCACCATTCTCGGCCATCGCGAGACCACGTGGAGAGATGAAGGCCAGAGCGGATGCCAGGGAAGCCCAATAGGCTTTCTCTTCCCGGGTCCTGTTACGTGGCAGAACCTAGACTTAGTGGGACCAGACCAAAAAACTAGAAAGTTCCACCTCTGTCACCTGGGCGGAAGCCCGCTGTGGCCCCAGCCTGTGGTTAGCCCCTGGAGTCGATTTGCAAATCTGTTCAACCCACCTCTGGGGAAAACTCCCAGCCTCACCCCAGGGGGCAATGACTAATTACAAAACACATTTTCTCTCTTTTCTGCCAGGCTCGCTTCCCCGCCCACGAGGCTCCGCCTCTCCCAGCAGCCACCCGCAGCGCTCAGGAGCCTGCTAGACTGGTTGAATGAACTCTTGGCCCAGCCTTCTTCCTCCTCCGCAGACTTCACTCCGGGGTTCTTTCCTCCCCAGCTCAGCCCTATTTTCACTTTCTAGTCACTCTCGCTTCTCCGCCAACTCTCACCCTGGAGCTCGGAGCGCTGGCCCCTGCTGGAGGTGGGGCGACTGGCAAAGCCCTTCCTGGGCTGCACATCATGGCCAGGTCTAGGATCGATGATAGACCACCGACGCTACCAAGCACTTTCTGCTCCAGGTTGCAGGTGCACCTGGACAGCAAGTTAGACTGGCTTCCTGCACACAGAGCTTCTAGAAGCTGGGACACAAAGGTCGCAGAACAATTGAACAGTGACGTCATCAGCGTTTTAAGGCCCAGTGCTAGAGAAGCACATACCCAGGCTGCCCAGTGCCTGACCATCCTGGCTAGCCTTGGGGAGACAGGTAGGGTTTTGGGAGGGAGGGAAGGTGGAGGAAGAGAAGGCAGGAGGATGACTTCAAAAGGGAGAGCTTCCCAGGAAAAGCCTGTGAGTGGTCTCATTTTGGTGAGGCTGGCAGGGCCCAAGCGGGGAGGGGTAGCATAAGGAATTCACAAAAGTAGAAGGAGCCGGAACCAATAGGACCTGGGGCATCCCGTTGTAGGCTAGGCTCAGTGCTGTTGAAAAGGGCAAGTTCATGAAATCAGAAAAAGTGGTGCTGGTCCTGGCCGAACAGTAGTCCGGTCACACAGTATGAAGCACTTTGAAAATCTCCAAGATGGGCCAGGGAGATAGCTCAGCGGACTAAGCACTTGCTTTGGCAAGAGCAGGGGCCAGGCCCTGCTGCCGGGGCGTGCTGAACCCGTGACCGCGTCCGAGCTAGTGGCATATGTCTGTAATCCCAGTGCTGGGGAGGCTGAAAACAGGATCACTATGAGTCCAAGCTGTGTAGTAAGACCCTGTACCAAAAAAACAAATAAAACATTAAATAAGTAAATGAGGGCTGGCCTAATAGCTCAACAGATTAAAGGCCTGCAAGCAGGCACAGGGGCCCTGGGTTTCATTCCTGGGCCTGCCATGCCAGCCCCGTCCCTGGGGCACACTGAGATGGTGATGGAGACTCGGTGTGGTGGCCCGTGTGCCGGTGATCCCAACTTTTGGGAGGCTGTAAACAGACATCACTATGAATCCCATCTACCCAGTGAGACCTTGTACACCCTGTACACCCTTACCTAAAACTATAAATAAATAAATAAATAAATAAATAAATAAGAAAATCTTGAACAATGTCACTGAGAGCTTCTCTGTCCCCACAAAGAGACATCTATCATGGTTAAGAACAAAATAGCGGGCTGGGGAGATGGCTCAGCAGAATAAGCACTTGCCTGGCAAGCACAAGGGCCTGAGTTCAAACCCTGGTTCCACAAAAAAAAAAAAAAAAAAAAAAGAACAAAATAGCCCGAAGGTCAAAGATCAAATCCTTTGTGAAAGTTTATAGTTACAATCACCTCATGCCCACAAAGTACTCAGTGGACAGCTTCTTGGACAAAACTGTGGCCTACAAAGATGTCTTTAGAAACTTTGCTTTTAAGTGCCAGCTGGGAGACCAAGGTCTTGGCTCTGGGGTCTGGGCCTTGGACTATGGCCTGTAGCAGAGTTCTAGCCTGGTGACCATTTACACCTGGGGTAGGGGGACTGGTGGCCAAGTGTGGTGAGCTGCTAAAAAGAGAGGACACAAGTGGGATGTGGTGTAATCCCAACACTCAGGAGGCACAGGAAGGAGGATCATTGGGAGTTTGAGACCAGCAGCCTGTACTACAAAGTGAGCTTAATGCCAGCCTGAACTGCATAAGGAAACCCTGTCTCAAAAACACAAGAGAGGAAGGGAGGGAGAGGACATGAACCAGTGAGAGCTAGGCCAGAAGGGACTGACAGAAGCCACAAAGGGCATGGACAGCAAGGAGGGGCCAGGGTGGACACTGGGGCTTTGGGGAGAAGGGAGAAGGGGGCTGGCAGGCAAGTGAGGACAGGAGAGCTTTCTGAAGATGAGCAAAAGGAAGGCAGAGGGGCCAGGGAGATAGCTCAGTAGAATAAGTCCTTGCCTGGCAAGCGCAAGGGCCTGAGTTCAATCCCCGGTTCTGGGAAAAAGAAAAAAGAAAAAGAAGGCAGTTCCGCTGATGGAGGAGAAGAAAAGCAGTTTGCTGTTGAGGTTGAGGGGCAGGCAGGGGGACACAGCCTGGGGTGGGCAGGCTCCCAGGGCCCCTGCACTCTGACTTCCCCTTCCACTAGCTCTTTGTCTTCCGGCTGAATGTGCTAAAGTGTTTTTGGTTTTTTGTTGTTGTTGTTGTTTTTTGTGGAACCGGGGATTGAACTCAGGCCCTTGCGCTTGCCAGGGAAGCACTTATTTCACTGAGCCACCCCCCTCCCAAGTGTTCTTAGGAGACTCTCTGACTTTGTCTTCACCTGCTACCGCATTCATTTCGCCCCTTGCTCCTGCACTGCTCCTGGGGCCACATGGCACAGGCCCAGCCCTCCCACAGCACAGCCACCCAGGCTGGCCTTGAACTTGTGCTCTTCCTGCCTCAGCCTCCCAAGTGCTAAAATTAGTTATGTGCCATGGGGTCCAGATCCTTTTTCTTCTTCTTCCTCCAGTCTCAGGCCCATTTCTTTAATTTTTAATTTATTTATGTGTGTGTGTGTGTGTGTGTGTGTGCGCGCGCATGTGGCCAGCTCAGCCCACCAGGGGGTGGGGCTGGCTGGCATGTGGTGCAGGGGGATTGAACCGTGGTCCCTGTGCTTTGCTAAGCTTGTTTTAAGTAGGTGCTTTAGACCACTGAGCCATCTCACCAGCCCCATCAGGCCCATTTCTATCTTAGTTGTCCTCTGATCACAGTCCAGTTCACTGGGCCTCGGAGACATGTCCAGTCAGAACACCTCCCACTGGGGCCGGGGAGATGGCTCAGTAGAATAAGCGCTTCCCTGGCAAGCACAAGGGGCTGAGTTCAATCCCCAGTTCCACCAAAAAAAGAAAAAAAGAAAGAAAGAACACCTCCCATGGCCGGCCGCATGCTCTGCCAGAGCACAGGAGGACTCTCCCCTTCCTGTCTGTAGATGCCCTTAGCTGTTAAGCTACCTCTCCCGTGGCTACACTAGTCTCAGTCATTGACTCAATTCTAAGATTGAAAAATAAATCTGAGAGCTTCTAGTTTAGTTTCCTAATTTTATGAAGAAGCAGAGTGCAGCCAAAGTTGCAGAGCTAGCAACTGGCATGTGAACAATACAGAGGTTTCCTCCCTTCCCTGGGAGGACGCGGTGCGAGGATGGACGTCTAGAATGGTGCAGCCTTTTTGTTCCATGAGGAAAGAGCTTAAGCTGGAGGGAGAGGGGAGCAAACACTGCAGAAGCCAGAGAAAAATCGCACACATCACAAGACAGAAAAGTCGAACACCAGGTCTCTGGGACACTGAGTGGCCAAGTCAGGATAATCTGAGTTGGCATGGCATTGTAGGAAGATTTCTGCGGTCAATGGGTCTTCAAATGCCATCTTGTTTAGGGTAGACTTTTACTGTCGCGGCACAAAATTGTATACATACCAGTCTGTGTGTTTAGGTGGCCCCTAAAGTCTAGAGGAGTATATATCCAGCCCTGAAAACCGTTGTCCTAGGGGAATGGAGGAAGAGTGCGGGGGTCTTCCTCTGGTGGGGGTGTTTGAGAGAGTGTCTTGCTATGGGATTTAGGCTGGCTTTGAACTCCTGGAGATCCTTTTGCGGCAGCCTCCTCAGTGCTAGCATTACGGATATATGTCACCATGCCCAGCTACTCAGCAGCAATGATTCACTTCTTCCTTAGCCTGGGAGCTGAGGAAGATCACTTCTAGCGCCCAGTATAGAGTGGAGAGACAGAAGCTCACAGGGTCATGCAACCTGCTCAGAATCACGCAGTTAGCAAGCACTGGACAGGTGTTCACACTGAGGCTTTCAGTTGCAGGTGGCCGCGCACCTGCATCCTCTCTTGGGCCCTTGTCCCCTCTCTGGCTCCCTGCCTGAGCTCCGGTGCATTGAATAAACACCTTTGTGCTCCTACCAGGGGTCACAGACGCACACACACTTTTTTCTCTGTTTGCACATTGAGAGCCAGAAATCATCCCCGGATTTATGTCCTCTGGGAAAACAGGACAGGAAACTAGAGGCCCAGGAGCTCCCTGGACTGCATTTTGTTTGAACACTGTTCACACTTTCTTTAAGCTCTGTTTACACACTGCAGGCCTTAGCACAGGAAAGTAAAGGGTCAGGGATACCTGCAGAGGAGAAGGAGGAAATCCTGAGGCCTCAGGTGTGTGGGTGGGACAAGGGTGGGGGCACCCACCTCACATTTAGGAAGGCGTCCTGCAGAAACACCAGGACCAGTACGAGGACTTGGGCTCGCCAGTGCATGCAGTTCTGTCGCTGTCATGAGAAATAAGTAGCTTTGATTGACACTTGGGGCGGACACACAGGAGAAGCTGCATTTGCCTTGTTTTGTTTTTTTTTTTTTTTGCAGAGCCAGGGATTGAGCTCAGGCCAGGGAAGCACTTATTCCACTGAGCTATCTCCCCAGCCCCCCCTTTTTTTTGGCTTGTTTTATTTTTGCATCCCTGGGCACTAAACCTAGGGCTTCACACAGCCCAAGCAAGTGCTCTACCTCTGAGATAGTCCCCTGTGCCAAGATGATGATGAGGATGAGGATGAGGATGAGGATGAGGATGAGGATGAGGATGAGGATGACTGAGAAAGGGTCTTGCTATGTAGTTCAGGCTGGCCTTGAACTTGCTATGTAGCCCAGGTTAGCCTTGAACTCACAGCAGTCCTCCAGCCTCAGCCTCCCAAAGTGCTGGGATTATAAATTTTTGCCACCAAGCCTGGCAAGCCAAGACTCTAAAACTAAAGAACAATGGGGCCGGGGAGATGGCTCAGTGGAATAAGCGCTTGACTGGCAAATGCAAGGATCTAAGTTCAATCCCCAGTTCCGCAAAACAAACAAACAAACAAAAAAAAAACTAAAGGGGCTGGTGAGATGGCTCAGTGGTCTAAAGCACCTACCTAGAACAAGCTAAACTAAAGCACAGAGACCGCAGTTCAATCCCCAGCACCACATGCCAGCCAGCCCCGCCCCCTGGTGGGCTGAGCTGGCCACACACACACACACACACACACACACATATAAATAAATTAAAAAAAAAAAAACAACTAAAGAACAATGCATACAACGTATGTACATAGAGAACGGCCTGAGTGCGCATGCACCCAAACGCTATGCTAATAGGAAGTGGAATTAAGGAAGAAATAGGAAGAAACTGTTTCATTTTCATCTATAAATTTGAATACTGTCCACAACTTTACTATAAGAAAACATGTTAGGGGCGTGGTATAGCTCAGTGGTACAGCAGTGCAGCGTATGCTTTGTGTGTGCAAGCCTTTAGGTTTAATCCGCATAGCCCGCAAGCACATGCGCACACCCACACACCCACCCACGCACACACACAAAAAAAAAAAAAGAAAAAGAAAAAGAAAAAGAAAGAAAATGAAAATACCTTTTAAAAGTAAACGTAAGCCAGTTATGGTGCTATATGTTTGTAATCCCAGCATTGAGGAGGCTGAATGAAGCAGCAGGAGGAGGATCGCTGCAAGTTCAAAGCTGGCCTGAGCTACATAGTAAGTTCAAGACCAGCCTAAACTACCTAATGAGACTCTACCTAAAATAAAAAAAGAGGGGCTGGTGAGATGGCTCAGTGGTCTAAAGCGCCTACTTAGAACAAGCTTAGCAAAGCACAGGGAACGCGGTTCAATCCCCCAG